TGGGTCTACATAAAAGAGCTTTCCAGTTGGACAATGTATAGTTAAAATATAGGGACCATTAAGATATTTTCATTTGTTTCACGCATATATGCACATGCTGAAGTGGTCATCAGTGACTATAATTATATATAGCCTGTTCTGTTCTGTGAGTTATATTTGTAAGATTCAAGTGGAATCACAATTTTATTGAGTTTACAATGTACTAGATATTTAGCATACCAAATACAAAAATATATAAAGTGCTTATTATTATTTATAGATGGAGAAAAACATTAAGTTCATTGCCTAAAATTTCATAGTTCCTGAAAGCACCATAATTGCAAACCAGATCTGACTCATTTAAAAGCACATGATTATACTATAGTTCCAAAATGATTGTTACCTGTACATTTTTCTTCAAAATATGCAAGTCTGTTATTCAACTAAATCTGCTATTTCCAATAGGTATTGTTAGACCATTCAATTGTTTATCCTAATTGTTTTGTTATGTTAAGAACATTGGATGAAGATAGGCAGAGTTCATTAGAATGATAAAAATTTGTCAAAATGATTTTAGGACATAATACAATGATTTGCTATTTTTTATTGGGTGTTAATTAATTGAACATTAATCACATGAATGTTTTACTTGGATTAGTCTATTGTGGAGCTCAATTACTATTTATTTATTTACTTATTACTGCTGTTCTGTTACATTTGTCCCAATTTTCCCCTGTTGCTCACCCCTACCCCTCCAACCCCCAACTCGCACAGTTAATCACCACCATGTCCTCCATGGGCATTTATATTTCTTCATATTAAGAAGAAAAGTCTTGACATACGCTAGTCAAATAAATTGTTTTGAATTAGAGATGTTTCCTTGAGTGATGTTTCTAAGCCAGTTCTTGAAAAACATGAATATCAACATTATTGAAGTCTAACTGAACTGTCCCATGATCCCTGAAAGTTTCCTTTCAAAGCTATCAAAAGAACATTTTTAATAATTAAATATTTCAGAAAACTTCTTTTATCTTTCATCTGCAATTAACTTACAGTGTGGGAAGCAGATTATTTACAGGTTTAGAAAATAGTCTCTTTCCAAGAGAAAATACATTTAGGTATTGTTAAGGAGAATGATAGAATTATTTCTTTATACACTCTATAATTATAGTGCTTTGGTTAGACTCTTATAACCTGACAGAATTCAATGAGAATGGAGGAGATAAAAACATGTCAAAAAGTGATGGCTGACAATGAATAGGCCTTCAAGGGAGCTGATCTTTCCCTGATCTGATAAAAAGGCTTCCATTCTCTACTTCTGTTTTTTTCTTTTCAGATCCCTGCATATCAAAAGCTTTTTCTCTGATTAGCAATAGTCTCTCAGGATAACAGGACTTGAGGACAAGACCTATGTAAAGAAATTTCTAAAGGTGATACACACCCACACACCCACACACACACATTATAAATATATATTATATATATAATGCTTTTTGTTTTTAGTCTTTTGCAATTTCTAAAATTTCATTGGGAAATTTCTCATTAACCTGAAATAGTTCTCTACTGGTATTTTTGATGTTGATAGTACTTTGTCTTCATATAGTCTATGAATGACAAGTGATGTTAACACTTTTGATGCATTTAATGGAGACTAAAGTTTGTAAAGTTTGTGGAATGAGCATTAGCATTGGAATCAGAAGGCTTAGGTTCAAGTCCATTTTGATAACCTCTGAGTCCTTAAAAAGTCGTTAAAATAATTTTCCATTTTAAATGCTCAAACCAGTAGATAGGTAGGGATGTATGTATTATTATATATCTATGACATTATTATATATTTATCGTTTTATATCCAAAGGATTTTTAGATACATGTGTGCTATTTCATTTATAATGAAGCCATTTAATGAATCTTTCTGGTCTGTCTTAATATGAGCAGAATTAAGTTTTAGTTGTCTGTCACAGGTGTTTATGCTGAGCTGGGTTCTTTGTTTCTGTCTGGTGCTTGGTCTGATTTTAATGATTGCTACTATTACTATAAATTAAATGAGGAAAAACACATTTTCTTTTTTTCTGAAATGTTATTGTTACAGACTATACTTACATAGCCAACTATGGAAGTAGGAATGCTCTACCAAGCAAATTTTCACATTTTACTAGGTAGGAATTTTATCAGTCTTAACACATTTGCCTGTGACATTTAATGGGCGATCATTGGCTTTAAAGAAAAATGTCACTTGACCTGAATAGAAGTTAATTAGGGACTTGAAGTGTCCAGAAGACATGTCAGTTTCCTATAAGTCAACATTAGCTGGTCTTTTGCCACAAGAAAGATCACCATCAGTAACTATTTGTTTTAATCCTCAAGGTAGACTTTTTAAGTATCTAAAGTCAGAATTATGTTTTATCATGAATTTTGCTGGATTCAAAATTATTTTATTAATTTCTTCATGAAGAAAGAAGATGCATTTCATGACTACATATTTTTAGATTTCCAAGGTAGGAATATAAAATTTGGCAACTTTTGAGATTGAAACCAACTTTTTAATATATATTTTTTCTTATATACAACTATATCTTTTTAAGTTTCTAAAACTATCTCTGAATCTTGTAACAAATGACATTTGCTCCATAAAAATAGTGTTTAAAAATATATATTAGAAATAGAGATGATTTGGACTCTCCTCCCTGGAGATGAATTATCTTATAGTTTGTTGCCATTGTTCATTCCTCTTTATTTTTTTTTCTAAAAATAAACTGTGATGATTAGCGTCATTATAGCTTCAGCATGGGTTATGTTTACATGGGTTATAAGCCATGTGATTCTGGATCAGAGCCTTTAAGCTGTACTTTTTTATGGTCTCTAGAGCAGAGACAAGCTTGCTGGAGTTTGAGCTTCTGCCTTGAGAACTGGAACCGAATGTTCCTTCTGTGTTCCGTGTTTTGGGGCGGCATTCTTCTGTGCATTGTAAAAGGGAGAACCTTAATGGTCCTCTCTGAAACATAGAGGCATTTTAGAGCGCTAATATTTCTGAACCTAAAAAAAATTTAACGTATATTTTATCCTGTATTTTGTTTAAATTCATGTTTAAGTTTATTATTTATTCCATACATATGAATGTTCAGCTATTTTTATATTGAAGGGTTATATTTTGAATTTTGTTGAGAATACACCTTCATGTTTATTTTCTCATTTTGTCTTTTCTTTCTTTATCTTCCCACACTGAAGGTTTTGTTTTTTTTTAAATAAATAAATTGCTTCCATTTTTATTCACTTTTTGGGCTACATTTTCACACTGAATTTGAGTTTCCAAAAGTAGAGTGATACACTACTACTGAAATAAATGCACTGCTCTTTTAGCTTTGCTCTGGGTTTGTAGGGATAAAGAACCTTGTCTTGCTTTCTCTCTCTGGTACAATTTCTAACGTTTACTAGCTCTTATTATACTCCACTTCTCCCTGGTAGCTGATAATCGAAATCTTTGTCATTTAAGCATGCTGGAGAATTTTCCTTTTAATTCACCTTGGGGACTCTTAAATTGAGACCTCCCATTAGGCAATATTTTGTAGTCATGGATAATACCTACATAATAAATATTAGAAAAATGAACAGATTATATTAAGTAGCAGGGAATAGAAGTCAATACACTAATATATAAACTGCTCTAAAGGGTTGTTTCCATTATTCAGTGTTGTCCGGACTTGCACAGAAAGAACACTCACTGAAACTAGTTCTCTGAGAAAGATTAAATACATGAACCAGTGAACCAGTATGAGATTTATACTTTTAATGAAACCAAACCTGATCATGTATTTCTTAACAAATGGGTATAATAGAGTCACATTTGTTATGTTTGATGTTATACTTGTCCTGTTTCTGTAGGTATCCTCTAACTGTGTTGTGGGGCAGGCTGCAGATCCACACACTGAGCTATTTTCTCACATGGACACAGAGTGAAAATGAAATCATAATTACTCATCAGAGCTAGATAGCTATTACCCGTAGTGCTTACTGTCTGCCAAGCACTGTTCTAAACACTTTATATATAACTCATTTAATCCTTTTAGCAATCCATGAGGCAGATTCTCACATTATTCACATGAGAAAATGGAGAAGGAACTTAATGTTTCCCAAGTTTGCACAGCTAGTATGCAGCAGGGTTGGTAGTCTGGTTTCATCTTTGTGTTTTTAATCACTAAATGCTCCTGTCTCTTGTAAAAGCTTATTAAATGGAGAACGTAATAGTGACACTGGGAAATACAAAGTGAAAAATCTAAAAAACAGAGAATGGAAAAGAATGAATCTATCCACAAAAAGTGATTAGCAGACTGATATAGTAGACAACTCATCTCCAACCTAGGAAAATAAGTCAGTCTGCAATCCTCTAACTCATTTAGTTTCCAAGAGTGAAAGTAAATAAAGCCATTTGTAGCTCTGCAGACTGTGACAGCTTGCTTCTACTCACAGATCATCTCTGTAAGGACTATTGAGAATGTTCTTCAGCAAGGTGGAAATTATTACATTTTTGTGCCTTTTGATTAAAAAGCCCCCTAACTACACTATTTAAAAGATGCCTAATACAGTGCTTAGTACACATTTATTGATTTCTCAGTGTCACTTGCTTTCTGCTTTTATAGAAATATGTGCTATAAAGGTATGTACTAACAAAAATTTACCAAGATTAATATACTCTACTGATTACAGCTTTTTGTAGAAAATGAAATGTTAGTCTTTGATAAAAACCACTTGAAGAGGACACTACTGACAACGATATAGCAGAGCTAATGAACTTAATGTATTGAAAAATGGTATCTCACTTATATTACTAAAAGCTACAATAAATGCACATACTGTATATCACCTTTAGTAGGTTAGATTACTAAATTATTTAGAATTTATGAGTCATAAATAAGAAGTTGCTTCTGTTTATTTCATCCTCATAATTGATTTGAAAACCCAAGTACTCTAACAATTACATATTCATGTGGTTATTTGAGTACTAAGATTTATTGTTTTCTTTTCAGCGCCTGGCTTTGGAAGCGGAGAAAGTTCAAGCAGCCCACCAGTGGAGGGAGGATTTTGCAGTAAGGACACTTTTTTACCTGTTGGTTTAAACAGATGATTTGTTGTGTTTGTATAGTAATGATTGCATTAAAATATTTTGGCAATGAAATCCTATTGTATTGCAAGAGCAGAAAACAGCTAGTTTGTTGCTTTAAAAAAATGCTTTGGATAGTCACCCTGGCTGACTCAGTGGTTCAGTGGATTGAGTGCCAGCCTGCGAACTAATGGTTGCTGGTTCAATTCCCAGTCAAGGCACATGCCTGGGTTGTGGACCAGGTCCCCAGTTGGGGGTGCACTAGAGGCAACCACACTGATGTTTCTCTCATTCTCTTTCTCCCTCCCTTCCCTTTTCTCTAAAAATAAATAAATAAAATCTAAAAAAAAAATGTTTGGATAGTCAGGGCCAATTAAGTTATTCAAAATGTTCCTGGTTGTATTCTGTATTTTTTTAAAAGTTCATTGACATGTTCTTCCATATTCAATGGTATTTATAAAGTTAATTATAGTAAAATAACATTAAATTACAATATCCAAGTGAACTTTGTAAATATGAATATACTAGTTGAAAACAAGTTGCATTTAAACACTTTGTTTCGGAGACGTGACATGCATATTATAATCACTTTGATGGTGGGCAATGTGATTAAAGTGAGAATATACTAAACCTCTTAAAATTTAATTTGTTCTACTTTTGCTAGAAGTAATCCTTTACCTACTCTGGCCTACTTTTGGAAATGCCAACTAATATTAACTTTTCCATGTATTAACTTCTGTACTCCAAGAACCATTGTGCTAAGTATACAAATAGCAGAAATTATTCTTATGATGAGTGCTATCTATCTATCTATCTATCTGTCTATCTGTCTATCATCTATCTATCTATCTATCTATCTATCTATCTGTCATGTGTCTATCTTCTTTCAGCCAGGTGAGACAGTGAAAAAAGTCTATCTAATAGTTAGTTAAAATATTTCTGTTACGTATTTGACTTTTTCACTTATATTGATTTTTTTCTGTTTGTTTCTGGTCATAGGTACATTCCAGACAATTCACTTTGAGGATGTTAAAATAGAAATAGACTATGAGGGACAACTTGATTGTATTATGTAATTGTCTTTGAATGTTTTGCAAAACTCAAGTCTCAGATTTGTAGGCTGAGAAAGTTATGCCTCAACAGAACACTAAATTTTGGTTCATTAATTAGTACTTTTAATTTGTGTTTTTATCATTATATTGTATAGGAAAGGAAAATTCACTAACTGATATTTATTGGCTTATGTGAAAATGATTCATCTTCTGTGCTTGACATTTCTGATATTATTTATTTTACCGTCTTTTCCTCAAATTAATATTTCTTAAACAAACTTTTAGTTTACTAAGTGAAGACTCTATTTAACTACTGTAGGTTTGTTTTTTTTCCCTAAATGGATTACATTGCTTGATTTGTCAGTATCATGTAGATACTGGCTTGGTCCACAATTGTTTGTCATAGGTAGGTTAAAAAGGATCAATTTGTCATCCCTGATATATAAAGAAAAAATCAGAGATAAAATTAAAAAGATAATCTTTTTGAGTATTGATGGCAAATTTTAAGCTCATCCACTGAAGATTTTACAATAAAATAAAATGAAACTTGAATTCCTTTTGTTTATTGAAAAGAAAAGAAAAGCTACACTAATTTATCCAAGTAAGTATCATTTTGATTAACTAATCTTCCCCCAACTAAGGTGACATAGTAAAATCCAATGTAAAGTCATAATAGATGTGAAGCAAGACCATATATTTTGCTAGGATTGGTGTAGCAAAATTGATTGTATTAGTTTAAATCATAAGTAATTTTGAGAATCCCAAGATCAAGTTTATCCAGATCATATTCTTTTATATATAGATTCCATTGCTTTCAAAAAGCTTTTCTTTGAATTAATGGAATGTGATAATTTTTCACATAGCCATTTATTAATTGTATGTCTTTTTTTGTTTTCTAAGGAATAATGTAAAAACTAACTTGTCAAGTAAGGATGCCGTAATGCCATTAATATAATGGATTTTTTAATTCAGTTATTATGTTACTGATTAATGGATATAAAATTCCTTTTCCCAGATATGTTGTAAACTGTTATCAAACTGATTAATACTAAATTAACATTTGGCAATGATTTATTTCTCCTTACAGATGTAATCAGTGACCATTCTAGATGTCACAAAAACTTTCAATGTGTGTTAGCTATTTCAATATTTTATTGAATCCAAGACATCATTAATTGTAAGGTTCTCTATCATTTATGTATTTGTCAGAAAGAGAAAAAAGAAGCCAATTAAATTATAATGCACCAGCAATTTGAAGCTGTATTGTTATTTGCCAGACATCAAAATGTGGAAAAAATTACCTTGCAATGTAACTCCTATTATCTACTTTCTCAGTAGCTATATCCAAACCAAAGTACTGCTAGAAATATTTATGCAAGAGGAAAAATTAGTTTCACATTGACACAAAAGCCATTACCAAGTCTTATGTGGTAAAATAGAAAAATAAATTGTCTACCCAGTAAATGTTAAGAGTTCTTAGCAAATAGTAGTAGCCACAGTGTGGAAAAATTGTTGAACAAATTCTGTTTTTAATTTCCCTCTAGACTACCTCACAATTTATTTAGGACATATGAACATATTGATTGACATTAAAGGAGACTGTTAAAGGGAAAACAAATTAGGCCACTTCAGAGCTCTGTCAACTAATTTCTTTAGTCCTTTTTGAAGGACTGTGAACGATCTTCAGGGGACACATATCTGTCACATTTTGCACACTGAGAACTGATATTTTCCATATCTTAGTATGTCAGTCATAGATAAAGTCTTTATAATAGCCCTTCCCTTTGAAATACCATAGGTGACAGAATGGTCAGATAGTGGTGGTTTTGTATTTGAAGATGGGACCTGAATAGGATTGCCTAAACTTCAGACTCAGATAAGTAAATAGTGCAAAAATAAGACTCATTCACCCACCCCCATTTTTTTGTTGATAAACTAGAGGATGCTTCAGTTTATATATATAGAAGGTTAAACAACTCCTTCAAGGCCATTTATACAATCAAATTAAAATTTGTGAGTGGCCATAGTTGGATAGTAGAAATCATCACTATTAAATCTCCCCTTATTTTGTGAGAGCACACAAAACAATTGCAGACTTTTATCAATATTAACTAAACACTTAAAAGTGTTTAATTTGAAGTTAACTGCCACCATATTTACTAAAGTCCTCCTTTTAAACTTATAGACATTGATCTTTTGAGGTATTTAACTATTTGCATCAGTGCAATATTTCTTTAATGCTATCCTTTAATAATTTAATACTAAGATGATTTAGAAGGCAGATATAATTTTCTAAGAGGTATATTAACATTTCAAAAAGAATTATAATATTCTGATCCTTCCCTCAAGTATAAGTGGGCAAGTTTTATTAATACTATTTAGGCAGAATGTTGATTAACATTCCCTACTGTGTAATGTAGAGAAGTCTAACAAACAACAAGAACAAAAGGCAAAGTACTAAAATACTGGGAACAAGAAAGGGATCATGTAATTCACACTCTCCCTCAGCTTAATTCCCAACTGAATGAAAATTGAAGGAAAAAAAGGGCTTACACTTTAAATGGATTAAGATTTACGCAGTCATGCATTTACTAGTTTAAAGTGGTATTTGTAAATAAGCTATGTCTGCCAGCTGCCTTTCTGGTCTTCAATCAAACTACTGGTGTTACAGGTGACATTTTGTGTCACTTATGATGGACAAATTATTGTTTTAAGGTCAGGTGGGATAAGGAAAAAGAGCTTGGAAAACTAATTGTTCCACATGAAATAATTGCTATTATTTCTACAGAACTGATCTTTTCCAATTGCATTTGCAATCTCATTTGATTGTACTGCAATGGTTGGTTAACTACAGCAGTTTTGTTTCCCACTAAGCCTGCAATATTAAATGTACTTACACATGTATAAACATAAGGGGTGCCTAATTTGTATTTTAATAAGTAGGATCTTTATGTGTGGGTTATTAGCATCAGCTTGTTACTGTGCAGGCATAGTACAGACATCCAGAAATTGGCCAGTAATTAAAACATTTGAGGAGCTGTTTTTAGCTTCAGCTCCACAGAGAAACTAAATTAGAAGATGAAAATTTTTCTGGTGAAGTTGAATGTTATTGAGTGTCAGTGAGGATGTTAGTTCTAACTTAGCTTCAATTATATATACAGGGGTGGGCAAAAGTAGGGTTTACAGTTGTAAGTCTACCAAACACAGATTAATAAAGCTATTGTAATAATCATAACCCGGATGTGTTTTTCTATATGAACAACTGTAAGCCTACTATTTTTTATATATATATATATATATATAATCACTTTGTCCAAATCTCATTATGAAAAATGCTGCTTTAAATGTAGTAATATTTATAATTTTGTGTTTATATGAGTTCAATTAATAGGCTCTGATATTATATATTTAATTATTTTATGTGTCCTATTCATTTCATGGAATTGCATTACTTCTGTTGATTGCAGCACAAACAATTGTAAACATGTGAACCATAAAAACATACTTTATTTATTTTGGTTACAATGTATAAAGATAAACACTATTTTAAATCATAATTTGGTGTAAATTCTGGATAGGAGAGAGCTGAATTTTTAGTGATTAAAAAGAGGGCAGTAAAAAAAGTGGGGGACTGGTGTTTTGTCTTAATGTATAAATAAATGAATTTAATATATCATCGAAGTGATCATTAGTCTATCTTGGTTTCTACCTTTGGCTGAATTGCCCTTTTGGAATCAAAACATTGCATAGTTTAATATTTTTTCTGCAACACTTCTATGTAGAGAAATGATCAATTTTTTTTTTTTACTGCTGCTTTCTTTTAAGATTCTTGTCAGTCCTTCCTCATCATTAAGATAGATGGAAAGGAGCCGCAGTGAAAAATTGATTTCCCTCTAAATTGTGGGAAACCAATTTAATGGAGAAGACTCGGGCA